GCGATGTGAATATTGTCTTCCATACAGAAGTCGGAGGACTGATACCTGAACATATATTCTTTCTTGTGGAGAGACTGGAACGAGGTTATTTCTAGGTCTCCTCAAGACAATATATGGTAACAAGCAGAGGTGGGATTCAGCAGGTTCTGACCAGTTCTGGAGAACCGGCAGCGGAAATTTTGAGTAGTTGGGAGAACTGGCAAATCCCACCTCTGACTGGAGATTTTACAGCAGTGATCCCCAACCTTTTTTACGCCGCGGCCCGGTATCCCCAACCTTTTTTATGGCGCGGCCCGGTACCGGCATTAGCTGGGCACTGCCATCTTTTTTTGATGAAAAAGTGCTTCCGGTGAGCTTTCTACCCGGAAAAGCTCACCGGAAGCACTTTTTCATCAAAACAAGATGGCGGCGCCCAGCAAGCCAGCGGCCCGGTAGGACTTTTTCCACGGACCGGTACCGGTCCGTGGACTGGTGGTTGGGAACCTCTGTTTTACAGTATCCTTTCCCTGCCACGCCCACCAAGCCCACAGAACCGGTAGTAAAAAAAAAATGGTAGTAAAAAAACATTGAATCCCACCACTATTCTGAGGAGAGGATTGCAGGTAGCTTTTGACTTATGACGTCAAAGGAGATTCTCAGTCATCAGGTCATGGTTGTCTCACAAAGGTGCTTTTTCCAAAAGGCAACTGGACTTTCTTGGTTTCTTCCTTTGAAATCTCTCCACTTCTCATCCAAGAAGCTTCTTCAGTTCTGACTTCAGTTCTAATTGAAACTTCAAAGGAAGAAACCAAGAAAGTTCAGCTGCCTTTCAGAAAAACACCTTGGGGGCTTAACTTATGATCACAGTTGAGTCATAAGTCTGGAGTCAAGCAATTGTATGACCCTTTTTGCCATAGTTCTTAAGTGAATCTCTGCAGTTGGTTAGTGAGTCATGTGGTCATTAAGCAAGTTTGGCTTCCCCATTGATTTTGCTTTTGGGAAACTAGCTGGGAAGGTCACAAAAGGCCTTTTAGGTGACCCTAGGACATCGTAACCATCATAAATGCATGCTGGTTCCCAAACGCCCAAATTCTGATCATGTGACCATGGGGTGCTGCAATGGTCATAAGTGTGAGAAACGATCATAAGTCACTTTTTTTTCAACGCTGCTGTCATTTCGAATGGTTCCTAAACAAATGGTTGTAAGTCGAGGTTGTAAAGAAAGGGGAAATTGTTGTCTTCCTAACAAAAATGTGGAACTTGTCTCCCAGATATGGCTTAGCGCCAGAGCGTGGGAATTTGGCCAACTTTTAAAAAGAGAACAATTTTTTTTTTAAAAAAAAGGGAGACAAGGAGAGATCCAGGAAATTACAGGCCAATCATTTTAACATCAATTCCAGGAACATTATGAGAAAAACAATACACTTACAAAAATAACTCCTACAGATGGACGAGCACCATGAAGGCTGCAAAGACTGAGGCTGACTTGCAGTCCATGGGCGCCAGAATAGAGGCAGCCCTCTTAGCGTCGCTTCGGTTCCCTTTCGAAAGATCTTTGACAGAGTTTGCCTGGAGGAAACTTAATTGCTTCTCGTAGATGGGAGTTCTCAACTTACAACAGTTCATATAGTGATCACTCAAAGTTGCAACGGCACTGAAAAATGTGACTTATGACCATTTCCCCCATTTACGACCGTTGGGGCATTCCCTATGGTCACGTGATCAAAATTCAGAGACATGGCAACGGACCCATATTTATGACGGTTGCAATGTCCTGGGAATCCCTTTTGTGACCAATAAAGTCAATGGGGAAGCCAGATTCACTTCACAAGCGTGTTACCAATGTAACAATTGCAGTGATTCACTTAACAACTGTGGCAAGAAAGGTCACTGAAATTTCACTGAGCCAGTGTCCCACTTAACAACAGAAATTTGGGGCTCCATTGTGGTCGTAAGCTGAGGATTACTTGCAAAAGAATCTGAACCTTCTGAAAGTTTCAGTGCTTCTTCATTTTTGCGGAAATTTTATTTATTTATTTAAAACATCTATATAGCATTACATGTAACACACATTATACTTATATAAAGGCAACTATATCGTGTTTTATGTATATTATGATAATGTATATGTTGCATTACATATAACATAACAGCAATAGTGTTTGACTTACAGCCGTTTGATTAGCAGCCAGTGAAAGTTGCAACAGCATGGGAAACTGTGACTTACGACCAGTCCTCACGCAACTGTCACAGCATTCCCATGGTCACATGGTCAAAATTGGGGCACTTGGTCCTGGCAGGTGTGATAGAGGCCGTTGTAGCATCACCTGATGGCTATTTGTCACCTTCTCAGCCGGTTTCTGACCCGCAAAGTCAATAGGAAAAGCCAGGTTCACTTAACAAGGGCAGTGATCCTCTTAACAACCAGGGATCAGGGATGACTCGCTTAGCAACCAACTTGCTTAGCAACCGAAATCCTGCTCCCAATTGTGGTCTTAAGTCGAGAACTACCTGTGTTTGGGCATGTGTCTGGGTGTGTATGTGTGGTTGTGATAAAGAGTGATAGAACAAATAGACTGTAACTCCTTGCCTATTTGTGTTGGCCTTGTGTGCCCTGATTAAGTGGGTCAGCATTCAAAACAAGGCTCAAGGACAAAACAGGCCCTTCCTTGTAGCTTGAAAGAGCCAAACAAAGTAGAAAGGAAGATGGGGGCCTCTGAGCACATCAGCACACACGTAGACACACCTGCACACACAGAGAAGCATGCACGTACTCCCCCATACACGCACATGCATGCCCATACACACCTGCATGTGTATTTTGCACACACACAGAGAGACACACAGATACACACACTGCCTGATGCTCCGGGTTGCCCTCTTTTTGGCTCTAAGGGCTGCAAAGGAGGATTTCCAAGGTGACAACATCCCAGCACAACAGGAAAGCGAGACAAAGGCAGGAGACCTTATCTCGGCTGTCCAGCTTCCCAGGCTTGGCCTTTCCACCACCGTGAAAGCATTCCAACGGAGAGGAAGGGAGCCAAGACTTTGCAAGTCCCCCACCACTTCCTAAGGGAGGCCTTGAACAGGGTGTGCAGCAGAGGTGCAGGGAAGACAGAAGTTGCCTCTGAGCCTTCCACTGGCGGTGATACTTCCTATTTGGTTTTATTGGATGGTGCTTTATTTGCAACCCATTATTTGGACGGCCCCGAATGATACCGGACTCTGCTCTAATCCAGATATAACAGTGGCATTTTCAATTATTTCATTTGCACTTTTTTTGTTGCGGGGCGGGGGGGGGGGGGCCAACCCAAACAATTTCAATCTGGATAAAAAAAAACAGACACATCTGGATTTTCAGGCTTTCTTTCCCTTCGCAGCCAAAGAAAATGTACCCTTGCATTCCGCGGCGGTTTGCCATAAGGAGTCCCTGACGTGACGGGAAAACTAGAAAGTTGGTATCCTCGTAACAAAATGGATCGTGCTCCTTGGGGAACAAGCGAAGTATGAACAAAACGCCACTTTTCCTACGGAAAAGCTCTCCCTGAGTCTCCCACTTTCACTTCCTTCATCCTTTTCTTTTTAATTTATTTACAGCAGGTGGCAGCAGTAAGTCAAAGCGGCCTAAGCTCCAAGGAGGGAGACCAGCAATGAAATTTGAAAAGCATCCTAAAAGGAGGGCAGGGCAAAGCATATCTGAATGATCAAGAAAGCTATACAGGTATTTCACCAGGAACCAGCCACCTTCATAGGGGCTTTATCTTTCATTATGATAAGCCACGCCCTATTTCCCCCCCTTCTCCCTCTCTCTTATCTATCATCTATCTCTATTTATCTGTCACCTTATTCTCTCTCTGTTTTCATCTATCTATCTATCATCTTATTTAGATTTTTCATTTTCTTGCTATATATCATCTCTATCATTCTCTCATTATCATCTCTATATTTCTTTCTATCTAATCCAGGGGTGTCCAACCTTGGCAACTTTAAGACTTGTGGACTTCAACTCCCAGAATTCCTCAGCCAGCTGGCTGAGGAATTCTGGGA